TTTACCCCCCCAGTCACAGCTTAGAGTCAGCACTGACACACCCTCACAAACATGTCACAGGGGGTTTGGTATGCCGAGCAACACTTTGCACAACCAAAAACTACTAAAAATAGTGTCATCTGTCCTTCCTTCCTAACTTCCTACTTTTCATTTTCTCATGTCTGGACCTATGAGGCTTAATGTCACAATATGAGAGATTCTGGTCCAAGTGAAGGTGGGTAAAAGTGAGAACAATGATTTGAGGACAGCCAGCGGAAAGTGAAACTAAGAGAGGAAGGGAACAAGGGCACAGGGGAAGGGAGCGAGGAGGCGGAGAGCACAATAACAGCAGTAATCCATCAGAAAGCATCTTGCAGCGGGCGCCTCCAGTTTGACAACGAGGCTTTGGTTCTGTCAAGCACAGCCCACCAGTGACTACCTTTCAACCCGGCGCATCCTGCTGCTCTGCGATAGGATAAGAGCGGAACGGACGGCGCCTAATTGGCTTGCTTCCCTGTCGGATTTCCAGGGCGCTGCAAACACAGAAGTGTGGGGAGAGGATATATCATGTTGTATGTGGATTTGTAAACAGCGGATCAAAAAAACGCCCGCTTTCAAGTCCCTTCAAATTGCTGTTGGTGCGCTGTCACGGCGGGGCGTGTCCTGGTCGGGACGACATTGATCCTGAGTGACTGACGGGGACGCTGGGGCAGACGGGATGTGTCAGGGCCCAGCAGGACTGGTGGGGCAGTTTGAGCAATGACACAACATATGATTTATAGCACACACACAAGCGGATGGCGTCACATCATCTGCAAACAAACAACACACGGCTTCACCTTTCACTCGGGAGCGACGCTAAGTTGATGACACAATCGGAGGAGGTTAGTCACATGTTATATCCTTCAAGCCCTGACCTCCTGATTAAGTCACGTTGGATCAAACCAGAACGTGTTTTTAAGCCTCACACAAAAACAAGCTCAAGCATAAGCTGCAGAATCAAAGCGACTCAGCAAGCATGAGAAACAAAAATGCAACTTTGTTCTCGAAGTGCTAAGAATTCTCAGCTTAACTTTTAAGATAAATAAATATCTTCGGCTTGAAAAAGGATCAGAACGTGCAAGGTAAACACCCATGTTTGATAGAGACATCCGAAGCCTCTGACCAGGTTCTCCTCTTTGTTCTTTGCGGTGAGAGAGAGGAAAAAAGCAGAGCAGCCTGAGCTCCAGTATTAGTTTTTTCTGCGGTCTGTCAGCACGGCGGCCCCCGAGGCGACGTTCCAGGCGAAGACTCGACTGCTGTCTGCTGAATACAGACAAGAAGACAAGCAGCCAACCTCCGAGGAGAGGAAGGTCTGAAGGGCACTGCCATTTGTCTTGGCTTATTTAGCAATCAGGGAGACGAGATGGGGAGAGGCTGCTTCGGGAGAGGCTGCTGATGGAAAAGTGGAGGAGTCACATCTGAGGCCGTCTCACTCAGAGAACAGAGAGTGCAGAGTGCGGACGCCTGCTGACTAATTCACACGGAAAACAACATCCTCTTACACCATTGTTCACTTGCAAACAATTCAAATATGGATGCACAATGATGCAGTTCTTACATTTGCATAAGATGCAGCACCTCTTTCGATATAAATGTCTAATTTGATGGAAGTCTTGTTTTCACGCACTAAAATACATAAAGTACTGGCTTCCCTCCAAGTGAGGCCGGACGGCTCGGTTGAATTAATGTCACACTTGAGGAAAATAACCGCCCGACAAGGTCTAATTGATAGCTGCTGTGGTGCGTTCAATCACACAACATCTGCATCTTAATCAGCGGATTGAGTCGTGCCAAAAGTCCATGATGCCCTATATGTTCAAATGCTTCTTCTTTGCAGGCTGTAATAGAGGTTTTAGTAAATAGCAGCAGTCACGTTATGGATCTCTGCAAAGCCACCAAACATCATTGACAAAAACAGCAGTTTTACTCTGCAGAACATCGTTGCTAGTCTACCAAAGTGCCTGGTTTGGTTGGTTTTCCTCATGTTGTTATGTGTATCATCAATGTCTGTTTGGAACACATTTAACCATTTATAGGACCAAAGTCAAAGAACTAACTGATCAAGACAATTGTAAGCTCCCGTGTTCTTTGAGGTTGAATGCCTGTTTTTGTCAGTGGAGTCTGGTCACTTTGAGAGGAGCGATGGTACGGCTGGTTCTGGTTTTACAAAAAGCAGCCTGATTAAGCCAATTAAAGCAATTTGTAATCACAGCGAGTTGGAGTTGAACAAGACGTAATAGCTCTGATGTCAGGACCTTTGACATGTTGTTATACGTACTTAACCCTTCCTACGTGACCAATCCCTCATTCATGTTGCCAATACATGTACGGATGCAAAACCTCTACACGCTCTCTTCACCAGGTTACTGTACATGAGAAATGATGCTCTTCACAGAAAGAGGATCCCAAACGGATTTAGCCACAAACAAATGTTCCCACAACAAATATGTGCTCTGCAGAGGTCACCTTACACCCAGCTGTTTGCAACATACCGCCGCCAAAAACAACATGTTCTTCAAACACTGGCGAGGCTAAACCAAACATTTACGGCCGCCGAAAGGACCGGGCCGCCTTCCAACATTTGTTGTGCAAGCTGCTGCACACGCTTTCTTTGCCGAGGTAAATTGAGGTCACGTGTTTGTAATTTGCCCTTTTCCTAATGCTGCCATTGGAGTAAAATAACATTTGAGGGCTACAATTAGATTGAACAGCGCAATACTCTGGCTAATTAAGTCATATTTCAAGTTCAATAACGATCAAGCCAGCCAGATAAAGGCCAGGGAGAGAAAGGAGAGTGTGTGGGGCGACAATATGGGAGCTTTTCTTTTTTTTTTTTTTTTTTTTTACAAGGCTCACGTCTATTGTTGAGTCAGAGAAGCACTCAGAGCATGTGCTTGGATCACTGTCTCTATTGTTGCCAATACAAAAGGTAGAGTTACTGCAATGATATAAAAGGAAGGTGTTAGTCTGTGTCTTCTTGTTAAGAATGTACATGTGTTTTTTGTTGTTGTTGTGGTTTTTTGATGCTCTGCTTAAATTGGAAATAAGTCCCTAAAAATTTGAATTAGGGGTTGTGTTTGCATAAATGTGAGGAAAGGATCATGACTCCTGGCCCTTTCTTTTTCCCCTCGTCTCTTTGTGTTTTCACAGCGTTCCTGCAGAATCACAATGTGCACAAGTAGCACAAGAAGACACAAGCGTGTAGAAAGCAATCGACGCCTAAAAACCAAAAAGTAATTGCGCTGATACACAAGGGCCTGGTGACAAAGTTGATCATTATCTTTGATGTGCACTCAAGTCAAAGAAATCAAGTGTGCACTATCGTCATAGACCGTTAAAGCAGCCCAGAACGGCTCACCTGGGTGACCCCCGTTTCCTGTTTTGGATCACACCTGGGTCATTTTCAGGGTACAATTACATTTGGAGAACTTGGCCTGTTCTGCTGCATATCCGTACGTTCATTGCACACATGCTCCTTGCGTCAGTGTCCCTTTCCAAGTGTTCATGACAAAAAGATGGAGAATCAGAGAGAAGGAGATGGAAAAAGACTTAAAGAAGAAAGAGCTTCAACGTCTAAACAGAGATATGATATGGGAGGCTATGGTGCTGTGTGCTTGCAGAGTACAGATGTAGAGATTTCCTTCCAAACACACACGGCGAGCAGCGTCAGCGGCTACATATCCGTGTGAGGCTTGATTTGAGGCATTAATTGAACTGTTGAAAGCATCAAAATAGACAGACGAGGATATTTTAGCGGGGATATGAAGCCTACATGAACTGCTTCACGTCTAAGTGCAACCTGTCTGACACATGTGACTCTGTTTCTGTGTCCTTCATCTTGCCCTTCTTTCCACTTCCCGCTCCATCGTGTGAACATCTCTTCCATTACCGCCCTTGACACTGCGGCCGATTGGATTCTTATCTCCCATCTGTAGGCCCGACGCTCAGCCCCGCGCTATCTCTCGCCGCAGCCTAATTGAATCTCAAGTGTTGGAAGAGCAGTGATACACTGACCACACCGTGTCACTGCCAATAGATAAGGACTGCTGCTGGAGGATTGGAGCGCTACAATCACGATGGGGGACATGTTGATAAAGAGGGCGACAAGCGCTTTGGGTTGGCACTGAGTCGGTGGGACTTTACTTGGATTGAGAGATAATGGATACCCTCCATTACGGCCAAGGTTGTGTTCATAGCCAATGAGCCGATAGTCCCATAATCCTGCAGTGCTCAGTGGCTCATTTACTGAAACTTTACCAGGGAGCAGAGTGCTGCTGCTCTGATTGATTTTTAACATAGAACTTAAACTTACAGGATGGATGCATCTTTAAATGTGATCTGAAAGCACCTGACACAACCTGAACTTCAATGCCACTTTGATGCAAGCCCCAAACTTGCCCATTACTTGTTTTCCAAAGTGCCCATTTTCTGTGGTAAATATTTAGCATGGTATGAAAACGGCTTTACTTTCTGTATGTTTTGAGCGCTCGTCCCGTTAAATCTTCAGAACTGCGAGGCCAAACCACAATGTTCCTTCACTCTTCAAATGCCTTGAAGCTGAGATCTTTTCAGGACTTTCTGTAGACCCTGGTCCCTGCATTAAAAGCACTGAGCACCTCCAAGTCCCCATCCCCCTGGGTAGAGTTCCTGCAGTAGCAATGCGGCTGAAAACAAAAGTAACCACAGTTTTCTTGATTTCCCACAAAGCCCTGGATCTTGGAGGGGTGATGAACCACAAGCCTCATTACCTGCTTTGTTCTTGCTCACATTTTTCTTGTTAAGCAGGTGACCTTTTCAGTTTACAGAATCAAGGCTCTGGCGAGGCCGTGTTTGTCGCTCGCTGTGCTTAATTTATCATCGACTAAATAATCAGAAAGTGTCACCTTGATGCTACAAAGTTTGAGCTGCAGAAAAATCCACAATTGGCAAAATGTGTGCGGCAAAAAAAAATCTGTGCTCAAGACATTTAAGTCTCCTACCTTAGGAGGTTAAACCCTTTCTTTTTGGTCTTCTTCTCGAAATCCTCTGCAGAATCATCCGTCTTCTTCTTCCCTTTAGGCTTCTTCTCTTTCTTCTTCCCTTTGGTTTTCTTCTTCTTCGTGTCTCCGTCCTCTGCGTCCAGGCCGTAGCGAGAGGAGCTGCTGGCTGGTGTTTCCTGACCGGAGCTCTGCTCTGAGAAGTCGTCGTCTAAAGAGAGGGAACAGTTGAATGTTTTTAGGAGGTATGACGTCGTTGTAGATGCACAGACACAGCTGGTGCATGAGCCACAGTACGCATGTGTGTGTAACTTTTGCTTTTGAGACGTCTGTTCAGAAAGGCAGCTCCACTTCTCTTGTGCAGCCCCCTAGCAGTGCATGTGGTTAGCCAGAGGCAAGTGTCTAAACATGGATGGGTTCTACCTGCAGTGCTATCTCTTACCATGTTAAATATTTATCTACATGCAAAGGCCAACCGGAGAGAAACATTATGGTCGACGGGAGTCTAAATGAGTAAAAGGTACAAGCTGATTTATCTCCTCCAGGAGGTTAACTCACCAGGCAGCTATGAAACTGGATGTTATGGCTAAGACTATTACTTGGAGGAAAACGGGCCGGATCAAAGTGTCACTCATTTGATCGTCTTTCACACGGCGTATAGAATCTCCACAGAAAAAAAAAAGGTCTCATCACTGAGGAAGATCCCATCGAGAAATAGAGATCGTATTTTCCTCTTCAAAGCCACCACACTACACCGACAAAAAAAAACGTGATTTTACCGTCTCCCTGATGTCAACGTCTCAAAGACGTCACCTGTTGCTTTCTGAAGTGGCGTTACAAAGCTAAAGAATGGCGCCCATCACAGTGGAAACGCTGACTCCAACTTGCGTTCCAGCTCAACCTGAAGCTGGAGGAATAAATATCAAGGTTCTGAAATGATAGCATATTCCAGACGATGAAAAGAAGACAAACAAAGCTGACAGTTTAAGGTGAATAACCGGATTTGACCAAGTGATGCGATTGTTGTTTCTCTTCACTTCTTTTTTGTAAACTGTTTCTTCATCATGTGATGTTCATGATGACAATTTAAAACTCAAAAGTCACACAATAACATGAACTAAGCACCAACACAACAGCAAGTCTCCTGTGAGGTAAACATCACTGTGTTTGTCAGTGGAGTTTGGTGACTGTGGAGAAAAGCCCTGAGACAGCAGTTTGAGGTTTTTAAAGTTCATCATCTTCAGGTCCTTTTCTGTCGGGATCCTGTTGGATGACGTCTAACTTCCCGGCTCTTACATCAGTCAAGTTTCACACCTCGGATATTTTCTAAGGACTTGAAGTGAGCAGCTTACCTGGAGGATATTTCCCTCACACACTCCAAACACAAAGTAGAGCATTAAAAAATATGCTGCTGTAAGATCTAAAGTAGCTGGTCCTAAATTGCTGAGTTGATAAAATCATGTTGCATTTCATTAAGGTACTTAAGCTAAGCGCTGTCCCTTGGCAGGCCTCGGGCTCTTCCTGAGTGCCAGTGTGCCATAAAGCCTAAGGGATGTGTGTTGGCAGCGGATCGTCTCATTTCAAATGGACACAAAGTCTAAGAAAAAAATCTTTATGATGGCAGCAGTGACAGTCTTACATTAAAAAGGAACATTCTTTAAAGTCGATGGTTTGGTGTCTCTTCCTCTTTGGCAGGAGGAGCTGAAAACGTAACATCTCTGCTTTTAAAACGCTAACGAGAGGTCTTACCGTCTTCTGAAGGTCCGTCGTAAGACTTGTCGATGGCGATGCGGAAACTCTGGTTGCATCCGCGTCCCCGGACCACGTGCGGCCGAGGGCGGTGGAAGGGCACGTGGGCTTTGATGCGGCTCTGCTCGGCCTCCGATACGGCTGTCTGCAGGCTCTCCAGGGAGCTGGACTTCATGAGGCCGAGGGTCGGACCCAGCGCTCCACCGGCTGAAGGCTCTGAGGAAAAAAGAGAAGCGTGCGGAGAGGGAAGAGGGCCCATGAGCGACGAGGTGGTCGGATGTGAAACAGAAGATGAGAGAAGAGAGAGAGAGAGAGAGAGAGAGGGAGGAGAGGGGAACATAAAGATGGAGGAGGAGGGAATATTGCTCAAAAGCAAGATGTGCTGCCGCTGATACAATGAGACAGCAAGATTTGTATTATTAAAGTGACTCTGAGGACTGAGATCATAAGCTTTTAGTTAAATTTGCCCTCATGCTTAGAAAACACTCACTGACTTGTTTCATACAGGAATATTTCCTTCTTCAATGGCTAACCTAGCTGGAATTTAACATGAGTGAGGATCAGTGGTTGCCGATATGAAATAAGGAATGGAGGGAGAGCTGGGAAAATAAACTCCAGATGAGTAACGGGAGCATGCGCTGAAAGTAGTCTGTCGCTGGAAGATTTCAAGACAGTTAAGTATTAAAGGGGCGGCATCAACACAAACTGTTAAAGACAAAGAAGTCTCTCACAAGAA